AGATGAAGAAGAATTAGTCAGTCAGCGTGGTGACATCATCGCCCTGCTGAGTGAACCCAGCGACCTCCATCAGACGGTGAATGAACCGCTTTGACTGGATTAAGCAGTTCATGCCTGTTTGTGTCCCACACTTGAACTTGTGGCTCCAGCGTCCCACGATTCCTCTGGTGGCCCTCTCTTCCTGGTGACAGGAGGCGCTCCAAGCTGTGGCACTAACGACCGGGGCGCTCGCCGTCGCCCCCACCTGACTCACCTTTCTCTCACTTCCTGCAGGGGGCAATCAAAGTGTAGCTTTGGGTAGCTTTGGCTTCACTCTGTCTCTCTCTCTCCCTCTGTTCTGCTGGGTGATGCGTAGACATCGTGGGCACGCTGAGGCCGGATGAGAAGGCCATAATGACCTATGTTTCCTGCTTCTATCACGCCTTCTCTGGCGCACAGAAGGTGAGCTCCTCACCCGTCAGACTCACATTAACACTCAGCCAAGAAAAACCCTGAGATTCACCAAAGTTTCCATCGCTGGTAAAACATATTTGTGATGTAAAGTTTTTATGAAAAGACCAGAGGGGAAATCACAGGAATTGCTGGAATTCCAGCCCAGCGTTTATTAGATGGGAGTTTGAGCTGCTTTGCGTTTCTCCTCGCTCGATCCAACAGTTGGCGAGTTCAGCTGCACTTACGGTTTTATACAAATTCAGTCAAATATTATCTGCAGAGCAGGAAACAGAGCAGGAGCATGATGGGAACTCTTGGTGCTTCTGTCTCGGCTCTTTGGACATCAGCTGTTTCCCTCGAAATGCTCCAGACTTTATGGGCTGGGCTTAAACTCGGCGGTCACCTGCACTGATTGCTTTCCATGCATGCTCCTGTGGGTGATGTTGACGTTTAAATTTCTTCTTTTCCACTGAGATCACGCAGATTTATGGATATCTCAGCTGGAGCATGAAACACGTTATATTGACGAGGATTCTTCCTCCGGCAAACCGCCGGCGGTCATGCTGCTGATGTAGTTTAGAGAAACCAGACCGGTCTGGATTCATTTCTGTGGGAAACATTAGCTGATGTCTCAAGTTTCTTTTCAGCTATTAACACTTTTCAAACTATTCTAAATGTTTTATATGATATGACCTGTGTCTTATATTCTGGTGAAAGCAGACGAGCAGCATAAATGCAGATGTTTTGTTGAACAGTAGGTATGACCTTGATCAGCTTATTTAAATTCTGTTTTATATTTCAGCGGTACAGTAGTGTAATATCCTAGGCAGACGCACTGACGTGGACTGCAGCGCTACATGAACTGTAACTAGAAGCACTGATTCCCAGGTTTTGAAGGGAGATGCATGAAGTTTTAAATACACACAGAATGACTTTGGCAC